ATGGCGCCTGAGGTTGGATAGGAGGCACCTCCCCGGATGCAGAGTCTCACATCCTGGCAGGGTCCCCAGGAGAGGTGCTCACCTGCTGTCAGGCTGGCTCTCGGCAGCCTGGAACGAGCCAGGGCTCATATTGGGCGAACCAAATTTGCCAGAGCTGCTGGGGCAGATGGTGGAGGAAGGGACCATACGGCTCAGAGAAGTGGGCATGTCCTTCACAAAGCCAGAGACGCACCTGCTCGCTGAGTTCCGGGGGAAGGCCCAGAGACTGCCCGTTTATCACGCACCACTGAGAGGGTGGCGGCGTGGTGGGGAAGCTCAGTGGAAGCTGTCTCCTGGGAGCCAAGCCTGACAGTAAGAGGCCACACGGAACTGGACTCCCTGAGAGCAACAGGGGAGATGGGATCCTGAGGCGACAGAGCCTGGTGGAACTTAAACTCCATATGCAAGGTGGAAAAAATCACTGCAGTGAGCAAGGAGGTCAGCGTGGCAGGTAGGAAACATGTAGAGGACTCTGGAAACAGCTAGATGGTGTTCCCAGGGGCAAGATAGGCGGGCAGCCAAAAGAACAGTGTGGATTTTACACAGCCAAACGCATGGCAGGAGGGACAGTGAGAGGGCTGGAGTAACTGCTGCTGCCTGTAGTCTTAGCAGCTTGGGAGGCTGAAGTAGGAGGATCGCAAGATTGAGGCCAGCCTCAGCAACTTAGCAAGTCCTTAAGCAACTTAGAGAGACCCTGCCTCAAAACAAAATAGAACAAAATAAAACAAAGTAAATTTAAAAAAAAAAAGGCTGGAGATGTGGCTCGGTGGTAAAGTGCCTCCTCTGGGTTCAATCCCAAGTACTTAAAAACAAACAAACAAACAAACAAAAAACCCCACCATCCCTCATGGAGCTAGAGCTCAGAGCCAGAAGCCATCTAATAAAGGAGATGCTGGGTCCCCGGGAAGAAGCCTGCAACACAAGGCAAGTGTGTGCAGCCATGGTTACCCTCCTCTGCAGAGGGACCTGGAGACACTGTACCTGTGAGAGGAGAAGAGCCAACATTCCTCAGACTCCCGGATGCAGGGTCCAAATTGACGTTAGTACGTAAGGATCAGAAGTGTCATCATGGCTTCCAGGTAGAGTGGCAGCGCACGGAAGCCAGCAAACAAAGAGAATCCTGCTGGAGCTTTGACATGTGGACCCACGGAGTCTATGAACCACTCCAATCCCTGGTTCCAAAAGATCCAGCCGCCCTTCCGATCACGTGAACACCAGGACCAACCAACCCGCTCAGCAGTATCACATTGCAAGGGAATGGGAGCAATTAGAGCCACCTTCGAAGACCCAAGATGCTGGGTGACCGTCCTTGACTTATCATTATCCGATTCTCTGGTTTGGCCCCAACAAAAACGAGGCAGTCAAGCAAACAAAATGAATCCTGCTTGAGTGTCCGGTGGGAGTCGGCCGCCGCGGCTCTGCTCCTGTGGCCTCTTCTCCTGAGCAGGTCAAGGCGGAGCATGTGTGTGGCTGCGATGGGTGAAGCCCTGCTTTCTCCATCCCTGTGGGAAGCTCGGGCAGAAGCAGTTTGCATTCGCGGGGAATGGGGATAATGTTCACGCGCAGGTCTGTCCCTTGCATATGCTGATTCTGCCACCTTCTGTCATGACGTAACTGACATCTGGTCAGGATGTTGCTGGACTTCCCACAATGCACCGAACAGCCACAAAAGAAAGACCGTGGAGAATTGAAACTGAATCTTCATTTCAATTAGAAAAAAAAAAAAAAGAATTGTCTGCACAACAAAGAATTATCTGGTTCAGAAGGTGAACAGGGCCAACGTCGAGGAACCCTAGAGCAGAGGGATCGGGGCCGTCCCTTCATTCCGTACAGCCTCACAGGGGTCCCCTGCAATGATGCACACGCTCCCCGTCATGACAGTGACATTGTGTCTTTAGTCAGCCTGGGTGGGCAAGAAGTGGCGGGTCTCTGTGGCCTTGAGAAGACAGATGTGCTTTAGAAAGTGAAGACCAAGTGTTAGTGAGGGTTTTAGGGGTACAGAAAGTGAGGACTAAGTGCCAGGGAAGGCTTTAGGGGTGCAGTGTTTTGGGGTGCTCCAGGACAGCCCCTCTGAAGGAAAGGACGAGTTGTAGTACCTGTACCCTTGCACTTTAAGCCCAGCACCTGAAAGGCCCATCGAGATTCTCAGGCCACCTACTCCACACTTGACCAAAGCTACTCCAGGCCACTTTACCCAGGGACAGGGAAGGCTGGCACCCGTGAGAGGGGCCCAGAGGCCAGGAAGGGATCTGCAGCATCTCCAGACTGTGCATCCAGCAGTCCCCGCCACAGTCATGTGACCCAGCAAGCTGATAACAGACAGGTCTGTGGTGGAAGAAGACACTGAGAGTTTACAGCAAGCCCCACAGGTCCCTGGAGCTCTGGAACAAGGCCATGCCATCTGGAGTGAAAAATGATATTCTGTTTGAAAATAGCTTTTGTGTGCTTCTGGGTCTGATGGAGCTGGAGCCTGCATTTGGCCTGATAGAGACCAGGCTTGAGATGACACCCTGTGTGCCTGGAGGGTCGTAGTCCCAGACACAATGTGCACCCAAGTGAACGGCCCTGTGTCCCCAGCAGGGAAGTCCATGGGCAGAAACCAAGGGGTGGAAGGGGGAGTGGCTCACCCCGAGTGACTCCTCAGGAATCCCATTTCCTGTCCCCGCATCATTAAGCTCTGTGTCTCCTCCAGTTCCCAGGTGGGGGCACTTCCACCAGGGCACAGGGCAAGCTCCATTAGACTATCACTGCCTCTGCCACCTGGTCACGTCAGATTCCTCCCACCAAAGCACCAACGGGTCAGGAAAGGAGTCACCGCACCGACTCTTCCAGGAACCGCTGACCTGCTCGATCAGCAGGAGAGGGAAAGGCTGATGGTCTACAGAGAGGCAGGGAAGATCGGTTTGGGGTCCCAATGATCCATGGGGACCCCTTGCCTGTTGCTTCACAGTAAATGTAAAAGTGAAACAGCCACAAGCGGAGACGGCCTGGTGACCAGTCCCAGGCCCACTAGAGACGAGGTTCTGGGTCCTCCTTCCAGTTAAAGTCTCTGGTCAGCTGAGGCTAGTGGGCCTGAGGGGATCTCAAAGGGGCAGTATGAGGGGGAGACGATGGGACCAGCCCCAGGACCAGCTGCAGCAGCAAAGAAGCTACAGTGCATCCTCTGGACATGTTCTTTTGAAGATTTTTAAGGGAAAGAGACCAGCTGGAACCCTGGAGGAGCTGCTCCTGACGGGTGAGATTTTCCTGTGGGTGAGCTGTTCCTGATGGGCGAGGTTCTTCTGTGGGCAAGCTGCTCCTGATGGGTGAGCTGCTCCTGACGGGTGAGCTGCTCTTGATGGGTGAGGTTTTCCTGTGGGTGACGTTCTCCTGATGGGCAAGCTGCTCCTGATGGGTGGCTTGCCATGTGAAGCACGTGGGACTCTGTGGAACAAGGGTAGACACCGTGGGCACCACACAGATCTCCCACTAGGACCAAGGCACTGTTCACTCTCCCCACAGCTGCTGAGAGTGCCGGCTCCCCATGGCTCACAGCTAAGCCCCTTCCCCAAATTGCTGTCCGCCAAAAGGAGCTGTCTTGCACGAGATGATGCACTTCCTCCAAGGGCAGCCCAGACCCGGTGACTGGTCCCTCATGTCCTTAAAGTTGCTTTTGATGGGAGTTTTCCCCCCAGAAAACTTCTTGAAATCTGCACCTAGATGTGGGGATGGCGAGGCACTGGGCTTGCTTCCAGCCGTGTCAGTCGGTGTTCTCCAGAGAAAGAGAACCTACAGAGCTCTCATGGACGTGTAGGAAGACGTGTGACCGGGGATTGGCTCACATGGAGGCTGATGTTGCTGGAGGCCGAGAGGCCCACACTCTGCCATTTGCAAATGGGAGGTCCAGGGGCACTGAGGTTCAAGGGCAGGAAGAGAGGGATGTCCCAGCTCCCACAGATAGTAAATTTGTCCCATCTCCACTTTTTGTTCTATAGGAGCCCTCAACAGATTAGATGAGGCCCACCCACACTGGGGAGGGTGGATCTTCTGCACTCAGTCATTTAAATGCTAACCTCACAGGAAATTCCAGAAATAAAATTTTACTAGCTATCTGGGCATCCCTTAGTTCAGTTGACACATTAACATTCATAGTCACATGGTCACATTGATTCAGTGGATTAGCATAAGTGAAGCCTCAGAGGGCCAGTCTGAGTCCTGGTGAGCTCTGCTCCCCCTTTGATCACAGGCTCAGAGAGGTCAGCAGGTGGCTCTAAAGCTGCTCACTTGCTGCACCCCCACCTGTGGATTTTAAAAATAAGCATAGTGGAGCTGGGGCTGGGGCTCAGTGGCAGAGCGCTTGCCTACCACGTGTGAGCACTGGGTTTGATTCTCAGCACCACATATAAATGAATAAAATAAAGGTCCATTGTCAACTAAAAAAATATTTTTAAAAATAAATAAGCATAGGATTCTCGATGGATGGGGAGGAGGTGCAGGAGCCAAAGATGAAAAATTCAGCACGAATGGGCAGACAGGAGAGTGAGCCATGGTATTTAGGGGCACATGGGCTCACACCCCAACTACAGGCACCCGAACTTACAAAGCAGAGCCGGTAGGGAAGCTTATGTCGTTGATAAAGAGAACCACCTGGGATTCCTTTGCAGAGGGTGATTCTAGCACATTCAGTGTATATCCGAAAGATGAAATAATTGGAATGGGGTGTAGAGGGCATGGTTTCCAGCTCCATTGTCTTGGTGAATGCTCGCGGACACCCTGTGAGGACGGCACTGTCCTACTCTCCATTTTATACAGGGGGAGACTGAGGTTCAGAGAGGTGAAGTGGCTGCCCACAGTCACACAGCACATAGCAGAATGAGATGTCAAACTCATCTGATTCGTTGTGACCAAAAGAAGGCACAGCAGTAAGGTGTGACTGTTGCGCGTCCCTCTTAGGGAGCTGAGCTTTCTCTATTGTCTTCCAGGCATGTGCCCTTTCTGCCCAAAACCTGGTTCATGGGACTGGTGAGCAAGAGGACAAGTAGGAGAACTCTGAGTGAGTCCCAGGCCCCTCTCTGCCTCCGTTCCTGACCCCGTCCCTACCTGCTCTCACCGGCTACTCCTGGCTGTTGGGTTTGGAATGTGGCCTCAGGAGGTCCTGGCCTCCGGCTTCAGTGACCCTGTCTCAGTGCCAAGAGCTTAACGGGATCCCATTCTGACGGTAAGTCCCAGACAGACACCTCGTCAGCCCGGTCGGGGTGGAGTCAGCGTCTCTTGACTGTGATTTTGGGCAAATAACTCGGCATTTCTGAACTTAGTTTTCTTACCTGCAAAATGGACAAGGCGTCCTCTTCAGGAGAGTGCTGCATTAATCAGGGCACCAGGGAGCGGGCATCAGGAACCCGGCTCACCCTCTGTCCTCCTCCCCCCTTCCAGGTCCAGTCTCGGCCCGTGCCTCAGATGTCCCCGATGGAGGGGATCTTCGTGCACAGGAGACATGCCTGGATCTCACTCCCACTTCCCCAGGAGAGTGGCCGGGGAGCTTGTGTCCTGCAGAGCTGGCCTCTCCCAGCCTCCCCCTGCCCCCGGGTCTCCCAGGCCAGAGCTTTGCGTCTGATCCCTGGATCCTGGCAACTCCATTGCCTCCCGTTGCCAGCGTAGGATTCATTGTTGCGACTTTTGATTAAATCTCTGTCTCTGTGTGTGTGTGTCTCTCTCTCTCTTTTCCCCAAGATTACTTCCCTGGGTCTCTGGCTTGCTTGGAACTGTGGAGGCAGCTGGACTTTGAGGGGCCAGGCTGCAGAGTCACCAATGATGGGGTGGTGGGAGGGAATCACTGTTCCTAGACTGAGGGTCGGGGTGGCCCCCAGAATCTTCCCAATGCCCCGTGTTGGCATTTCGGAGTGGGGCTCACTGAGGAGATGATGAAGGACCATCATGGACCTTCCTTCCCCCACTCCTGCCCGGCACCCACCTCACCTGCGTGGTCTCCCCTGGAGCCTGCCCACTCTCCAGCCCGGCCCGCCTGCGTCTTGTCCCGGATCCCAGGAGGCCAGTGTCCACGCCTGGCCTCTCTCCTGGGGCGCTTCAGACTCTTCTGCTTGGATTTCACACCACCTTCCTCCAGCGGGCAGCAGGAGGTGTCCACTGTGGGCCAGCAGATGGGAACCTGGGCCCGGGGGGGAGTGTGCTGGGGTCCAGCCCCGCTGTCATCTGGGTCATCACGTGATCTCGGGCAAGTCGGGCACCTCTGCTTAACGAAGCCCTCTTTGAGCTAGTTGGAGGCATCTTACGAGGCCTAGACTGGGCAGCAGCTTCTCCATTTATTTGCTGTGGACTTTGGGGCTGGTTTCGCAACCATCCGGAATGGCGAATGCTTCCGTGGTGTATTCAAAGTGAGATGAGGTGCATAAGTAACAGCCATTATGATCGCTGACATTGGAGGGGGTCTTATGCTCCCTTAGAGTCAAGTTCAAAGGACGGAAGATGAAAGGTTGCTTTACCGGGAGGCGTCTAGAGCCAGCGTGAGGGAGACCCCTCCTCCGCTCAGCCAGTCCTCTTTGGATCCCAGGGGAGGAGACTTCGAGGAGATGGGGCAGTCACAGGGCAGAGGACAGGGACAGAGAGGGGAAGAGCAGAGTAGAGAGAGCCAGGCCATGTGGAGGTGGCTGCAGCGTGTGAGCCTGAGGCCAGGCAGGTTCCAGGGGACAACGCCAAGTACTGAGCTCTCCGCAGAGTCGGCCTCCGGCACCCCCAGACCTTCAGTGCCACAGAGGGTCTCATTCCGCCTGTCGGGAGGCAGGACAGGGACCTCCTGCAGCCCAGGAGGAGCCGTGTGGGAGGCAAGAGGAGGCACAAAGTGACCTAAGGGTGAGGCTGGAGCTTGCAGCTTGAGGTGACCACAAAAAAGGAAGAGGCACCCCCACTACTTGCTGCAGAAACGTCTGGAAAAAAATTGGAAGGAAACGGACTCGTTTGACTCCTTTGAAGAGTCCTTCCCTCTCGGTGTTTATTGTGAGATTTTGAACCTTTCAAGCGTCAAGAGGTGCGAGCGCAGGCCTTGAGCCCCCGTCTGGCCCGTGGGGCCCCTCGTTAACCCGGCCCTTTACTCTCGGCCTTTCCTCCTCAATTCTGCTAATGGGAGAGTCGACTGCAGAAGTCTGACTCTTTGCCCCCAGATAATCAGCACATATCGCCTCGGAACAAGAACCAGTCCCACATAAGCATAATGGTGTCATTATCCCACCCGGGGACTCCAGCACCACCTAATAATGTTATCTCCGAGGCTGTTCATATTCGGATCCCCCCATTGTTCTAGGAAATGGCTGACAGCTGTCTGATCCCTGTTCAGAGCCATTTAAGGATCGTGCGCTGCATGTAATCACCAGGCCCCTTCGGCCTTCCTCACCTGGTCCTCCAGCGTGTCTGCCAATTGATGCTTGAAGAGCGCACATCCGAGGTCTTGCACAACGCCCCCAGGACCCGAACACATCCACTCGTTTCCTCGTGACGCCATTCAGTTTGAAGATTTTTGGTTAGAATCCTGAACTGGGGGGTGGTGCCCTTCTTTTTCGGGGGGAGGATACTAGGGATTGAACTCGGGGGCACTCAACCACTGACCACATCCCAGCCCTGTTTTGCATTTTATTTAGAGACAGGGTCTCACCGAGTTGCTGAGCGCCTCACCATTGCTGAGGCTCGTGTTGAATTCGAGATCCTCCTGCCTCAGTCTCCCGAGCCGCTGGGATTACAGGAGTGTGCCAATGTGCAAGGCATGGTGCCCTTCCTGCTACTTTCCCAAGGAGGCAGGCCACATCCGTCCATTTGTCCTGTCTTGGATGACCTTCCGTTTAACCAGGCGGTGAGGGCCATGTGTGCTGGGCTTCTTCTTTGGAAAGCTGTCTCCCTTTTCTGTGATGAATTGGTAAGTGGCCCCGGTCATGCTGCGGCTCTGCGTGAAGACACTTCTGTGTCCACTGACGATCTTGTCTGGATGGCTTATTACTCTGGGAGTTACCAGAATCATTTGGCCCTTGAAGGACCGGGGCTTCCACAGGCCTGTGGCTTGTGCACATGGACATGAGCTGGACCAAGTGGGTGGCTTCATGGGTGTGACAGCCTAAAATCCTCCTCCGTCCGTACCTTTCCTTTACTGTTTGTCCTTGACCACAGGGACTGGCCCCTCTGGCCAGAGAGTGAGTCTACCACCAGCTGCAGAGAACTGGTCCCTGGGACAGACAGCAGGGAGGCTGCTAGTCCACTGGGTCAGCGGCTGGTTGTGGACGTGTGTGCACACACATGCTCACACGCTGGCACACACATGCTCACATGCTGGCACATGCTGGCACACGCTGGCACACGCTGGCACACGCTGGCAGGGGGCATCTGGAGACCTGGGACTCAGAGGCAGCACGTCCACTGTGTGGCCAGGAGCTGCAGGGTGCTGGGCTCTGGGCCTGGATTCCATGGCCATGGTCAACCTCTACAGTCCACTACCCTCTGACCAGCTGACATGGGGCTGAGGCCAGAGGCAGGAGGTGGGGAGGAGGCTTCCTCAGACCCTGGTCAGCGGATGGTCCATGGCTACCTTGGAGATGAGGCCCCTGGGCAACTGCCCCTCCCCCACCTGCTGCAGAAGGGACTCCCCCACCAGCAAGGGCTGTGACAACAGGCAGGGGCCTGTGGGGCACCTGCGTTGTGACTTCAGCCCAGGCACTAAGCAGACGCTGACCCCGCTTCCTGGTCAGCTGCACACCTGGTCTTTACCTTCATGGTCTGCCTGCTCCACCCTCCTGGGGTGGGTGCTGTGACTCTCCCACCTTAAGGGTGAATGGAACCGAGGCTGGGCCTCTCCAGGGCCCAGCATCCTGTGTCCCATGTACAAGTTCAGATGTTCCAGGTTCTTTGAGCACTCAGAGGTCTTGGGGACCTAAGCTAAGCAAAGTCCCTAGAGGTGGGTATGTCCAAGTGACTAAGTTTCAGTCAATGAAAAGTCAGTATAAGTGATATATTGAACTTTGGGAAGAGAGAGGCCATTCCTTTCGTCTCTTCTTTCTTTTCCTGCTGCCTAGAAGGTAGTTGGGACAAATGGAGCACCTGCAGCCATGTTGATCTAAGAGGTGACCTTGAGGAGGGTGGTGCAGAAACAGAGAAAGAGCCTGGGCCCCTGATGACTTGATGGAGAGATCTTATCAGCCCTGTTCTGTGTGCAGTGGACTCTTGTGCATGAGATATAGATCCTTGGGTTTTGGGGCTACGAGTTCTTAGGGATGTGCTGCTGGATGCTGTAGGCTATTCCTTTGTGATGTATCAAGTGACAGACACCTGGAATTCACCAGAGGTTGTGGTTGAGTGTGGAACTGGCAGGGTCACAGCCCGGGAGGTGTCAGGTTTGGGGCGGTGATGAGCCTGGTTGTTGTGGTTTGGGTGTGCGGCGTCCCCCAAAAGCTCCTGTGTGAGACATCGCAAGACGGTTCAGAGGAGGAACATGGGGTTATGAGAGTCTAAACCCAATCTGTGAGTCAAGCCCCTGATGGGATGAACTGTCACTGAAGTGTGGCTGCGGCTGGGGGAGGTGGGAACCTGGGTGTGGCTTTGGGTGTATGTTGGTGTCTGGACTCTCTCGGCTTCCTGGTCACCACGTGAGCTGCTTCCCTGTCCCACACTCTTCCGCCACCATGTCCAGCCTCCCCTGGAGCCCTGAGGAATGGGGCCAGCCTCCTATGGACTAAGACCTCTGAAACTGTGAGCCCTCAAATGAACTTTTCCTCCCGGAAATCGTCCTGTCAGATCTTTCGGTCCCAGCAGCGAGAGTGCGGCCTAAAACACCCGTGTGCCCACCCTGCCCACAGCAGGGCCCCTCTCCTACACGTTCTCGTGCTGCGGGACTCAATGTCCCTCCTCCTAGGGCCACCCAGGACTAGCAGGCAGGTCAGGGCACAGTGGTCAGGCTTGGCCCTGCAACTCCATGGACACACTTTGAGAGGTGCCCCTGGGCCCTCCTGGCTGGATGCAGGAGAGGTGGCCGCAGCCCTGACGGCCATCTCTAGAGACAGTGCACCTGCCGGTTCTACGGGTTTTGTGTTCTTTCTGTTGACTTTGAAGGGTGACAGCCCCATCTAGGCCCAAGGTCTGCGGTGGAAGTGGGGAGGGCTGCTCCCTCTGGAACCCCCACCTCCCTGGGCCCCGTCACCGTGGGGGCTGGCCCCATCCACGCTGTGTGGCCACGCCCTGTGCTGTGGCTCCTCCTCCCCTGGCTTGGGGCTTGGTGGTGACTCTCAGGCTCCCCGGCCCAGGAGCACGGCGCCTCCCCTCCCTCTTTGGCTGGAGATCTCACTGAGGCCCATTCAGGGTCGTGTTGGGAAAACATCACCTGGGAATTCTGTGAGCTCCTGGGTGCGGCCATCAGGGGGAAGCCCTGAGTGTATCTTCCCCTGACAAAAATTCAGGACTCATCCATCCGCTCCTCCGTCCGTCCACCCAAACCTTCTCTCACTGAGCAGCAGGCGCCGTGCCCGGGTTTGGGGGTGAGGGAATGGACGAGAGCCGGCGCCTTCTCCCCGGGAGCCCGGGTGAGCTGGCAGTCACCCACAGAGCCGTCCCCGCAGGGAGAAATGAGGCTGCGGGAGCCCAGGAAGGGCGCGAGTGGCC